AAGTCCACCTGTTTTGCACTGAACACATTTAATTCACTCAGCAAAGGTATCAGTACATGATATACCAAATTTGTTTGTTTCGTATTTCACCCAGCCAGTTGTACAGTCTGATGCTTATTTGGGCTAGGAAGAAGTAACTGGCCAAGATCCAGCTGGCTCTCATGCCTAAGGGTAATAGAACCTACGTTTCCTAGCCCCACACCTTTAACCACGACACTACACCATACTAGCTCCCTAGTTAACTGGGTCACTAACTTCAATAAAGAAAAATATATGGGAGAAACGAGACATAAAAGGTTATGTGACATCAATAACTCTACTTCTGCTTTTCACTAATGAGTATATTAGACTAGACTAGACTAGACTAGACTAGACTAGACTAGAATAGACTAGAATAGAATAGAATAGAATTCTTTATTGGCCAAGTGTAGTTGGATACACAAGGAATTTGTCTTGATGCAAATACTCTAAGTATACATAAAAGAAAAGATACATTTGTCAAGAATCATAAGGTACAACCATTAATAATAGTCCTAGGGCACAATAAACAATCAAATCATACTAGGAAACAGTCAATATAAATCGTAAGGATACAAGCGACAAAGTTACAATCATACAGTCACAAGTGGGAAGGGATGGGTGATAAGGAGTGATGAGAAGATTAACAGTAATAATAGTGCAGACTTTGTAATAGTTGAACAGTGTTAAGGGAATTATTTGTTTAGCAGAATAATGGCAGTAATGTTAATACAAATTGCTTTAAGGCATCTCTGGAAATTATTTCACATGAATGTATAATTACGTGGCATGTTTATATAATTATGAGCCAGTTTGGTCTAGTGGTTGAGGCGCCAAACTAGAAAACAGGAGACTGTGAGTTCTAATCCTGTCTAAGCTAGTAATACATCAGAATTACATTGATCTTGGATGTGAGTGATACAATTTAACAATTCTTTATATTGCCGCTAACCCATTCCATTTTCTGGAACTCCCTAAAACTAATCTTACGGCTTTGTAGTTTTTGCTTTTACTATATACTTGCAGACCAAAATCAGCATTCTTCAAAAACAATCAGTTTGATGTAGTGGATCAATATTAGACAGAGAATAGCTCTAATAAGACAGCTTCAAATCTTTATTTAGTCAGCTCACTAAATCATCCCCAAAATTGTTTGGTTTGAGTGAGTATGTTCTAGGGATGCATTGATTGTGGTTTAAACATTTTAAATTATAGGTTAACGAACTCTGTGAACTCAGCCATTGTGGCTTAGTTGATAAACCACGAACAAACAATACATGGTTTACACTGTTGTGCAGTTCAAACCAATTTCTCCATTTAATTTGCCTCATAAGAATAAGGCACCCTGAATGTCATGTTGAACAATACAGGAGGTAAATAAACCAAAGCAAAAAAATCCACCAATACTCACCCAATGCATACAGAGTATCTTTATATTGTTTTATTTGCTTGCTATTACACTGTTAATTTTACAAGGTTAACATTCTGTCTAAATTTGTCTTCCAGTTTCTGGCAAGTGCTCTTCTCCAAGTAATCTTTCATACTGTAAAATAAAGGTACTGATATTATTGGTGTAGACTAGAGAGCCGGGAAGGTGTAGTGGTTAAGGCATTGGCCAGAAACTGGGAGACTGTGAGTTCCAGTCCCATCTTGGGCACAAAATCAGCTGGGGGGACCTCAGGCCTGTCACTTCTTCTCAGTTCTAGGAAGGAGACAATGGCAAACCAATTCTGAAAAACCCTGCCAAGGAAACTGCAGGAGCTTCTCCAAGCAGTCTCAGAGAACATGATTGAACAGAAGGGTAAAACAATTACAATTACAGCCTCCATTCCTTTGCAGTCTGCCCATCTGAAGTGAAATCCTTCTGTTTCTCTTTTACCATATTAGTCTTCTGTGGAACCACAAAAAACCTGGCTTTTCTCCAGCACTCTGGACCGAAATGCAGTTGAGTTCATTCATTCTACGGTAGGTGTATTTGTATATATGTTCACTGCCAGCCTTGAGTATGTGTTATCTTTGGTTTTGTTGAATTATTCTTGGTTTTATACTGTATTTTTATTGTTGTTATTGATTGCAAATTGCAAGAAGAGAGGCTTTGTAATTATTTTAAATAACTAAATAATTAAAGTGCAGGACATCAAGAAGAAAAAATTGTAAAATGAAAGACAAGACCCTTTACATGCACACTTGGGCTACCTCATTACCAAATTAAGTGCAAAATCTTTGGACCCAGCTTATGAAAATGTCATTGAAGTATTATATCCATTTTGGAAAAAAGCTGAAAACAATGGTATTTTTTTCTTTAAAAAAAAAACAGAATACACAGCACAGCACTAATCTGTTTTAGTGTAGATCTACAAGGATATTTGTCCTATATCACTTGCTACAAATTCGTATGCCCATATGCATTGTAAAAATGCTGCAGAGCCACCTCTTTCTACTTTCATTTTAAGAAGCCCAGGATTGGTATAATCCAGCACCAGGAATTCCAGATTATTCTCGCCTCTGTCCAATTCAACCTGCCTCTATTGTTTGCTGGTTCAAAGTCTGCTGGGAGAAGCCAGCTGTTTTCATTCACCTATTTCAAATTCTCCTCCAATAAGAAAGAGGCAAGAAAGTTTAGGGTGTATTGTTTATGTAACTGCTGCTTTACATGCATGGGATCTCTCTCTTGGTGAAGAAAGCGCTCTTTTAAAATACAACAGCAGCTAGAAAAAAACTATTTCATCGTGCTCATGTCACTTGCTCTATTAATTTTACGGTACTTTACATGCCAAATTAAGAAAAAAATACCTTTGTCTCTTCAGTTTATATGGGGTATTCCTATCATTCAAAGTATTTTCACCTTTATTATGTTGGAAGCAACCTTTTAATTGTGATTTTAATTTGTAATGGCATAAGACAGTATTTCTCAATCTCAGAAACTGTAAGACTTGTGGACTACAACTCCCAGAATTCACTAGCAAGTTGCTAAGGTTGAGAAATACCGACATAAGGCAATCTTAAGTGGTTTTTCTAAATCCACAGACAAGGCAAAGCAAGACAAATTTTCTCTGGAAGATGCCCAAGGGAATCTAGCAGGAAAACCTATAAACCTCAAAGCCACAGTCCCATTTTTGTGATCCCTGGAGCTTCCCAAAATTATATAATGAAATTTGGTAGCAAATCACAGATGGTCAGTGTGCAGTATTTTGCTTTATTATTGTTTTTAAATTCAACAGGAGCTTTAAGCCTATAGCAGGCTAACACATTGACTTTGCCTTAACCCCACCTCCTGAATCACAGAAAGTACTGGACAAAATTATTAGCCATGACTCTTCTAGGGATATCACCATGTCACTCTCTGCATTTCTTTAAAAAATGTTTTGCATTTGTTTGTATTTTAAGTGTGTCTTCTGGCTGCAAAAAGACTCTACTTCTATTCTATTGTCTGACCCTAAGCCTTGATTTTAACCATAGTTACTAAATGAACCACCTTTAACTTTGGATGCAATATTGCTAAGTCATAGATTATGATTTATCACTCATGATTGGTTCATATGACACATAAACCAAGCCCAACTAAAACTAAGCAAACCAATTGTTAGTACAATGAGTACAGTCATGTACGCCTGAGGCTACAGCAGTAGGGAGTTCAGTTGCAGTCAGATCTGAGTGATTCTTAACCAGCAGATTTCCTCAGCTCTTAGTTTAATATATGCAAAACAGTCTTGCATCTAAGAAAGAGTGCAAGTTTTGGAAGTGGCACTCTTTTCTTTATCCTAAGAGTTGCAAAAAGGAATTATTGTCAATCTGATGCATTGGTTTTGCAGACAGCTTGGAGGAAGGGAGGCTGGAATGGGGGAACGGTGACCTCTAGGAGCAGCCAGCTTAAGTTTCACCTTTTCATCACTGTCCAGTTTTGGCCTGGCTGAAACCATAGAAACACCCTATTGATGTTATTCAATTCGGCTGAAGAGACTGCCGTTTCAAAGCAAAGCATCATGGGCTCCAGCTGAAGAAACTTTATCCAAAGATAATTAGAAGTGACATGGTTGGGAAGCTGGACCTTCATAAATGGAGAGAAAGAGAAAAGCAATTCCCCACTGAAGTTTTGTAGCATTATTGTTCTAAAGATTTGTAATATAACAGCAACATGCCCAAATGAATCTCCTTTATCCCCCAGAAATAATTTTGCTACTATTTCTCAGCCAATGGGATCATACTGAATGAAGGTGACCAAGATAAAACCTTGAAGACAGAAATCAGGATTCAGTGTCATTCTTCAATATAAAATGCACTTTTTAAAAGTTATAGGTAGAACAGGTAGAACAGGACTGTATTTAAAATGATTAGGAAGATTTAATTTTTGGTGGAAGTTATGCTAGCAATTCACAGAGCTAGGAGTCTGGAAAATAAATCTGCAGATCACATTGCCCAGTTCTATTCTTAAGACAGGATTTTAATACTCATAAGATCTCTTTAAGTCATCATTCAGATCTGAAGAGTGTTTTTTAACCGAGTGACACATTTTAAATACATACTATGAGAAGAATGAGATAACATTATCCCTAAAGACAATGAAAAATTCATTGGGCATATTATACCCAAGAGAGCCATTCAGGTATAGTGGTTCACTGGAGATCCTGAGTTTTAATTCTGTCCCAGGCACAAAGCTAGCTGGGTAACCTCGAGGTGGTTAGTCTCTCTGTCTCAGTGACTGGAGAATGACTGGCCCAAAATGTCAGCTAACTGACTCTCATGCCTAAGACAGTACTAGAACTCACAATTTCTCATTTTCTAGCCCAGTTTCTTGAATAAGCTACAAACTAATTTTACATACTACACTAAACTATCAAACAGTTCATAACCCACAATGTCTAGTTTTACCTAAAATTAGCTAACCCTACTTTATTTAACTTGGAGTGTGAATGCAGGCAAAGTTGTCTTTCTACCAATATCTAAATTACTATAGAAATAAAGTTACAAGGAAAAATAACTATAATAGGGAGACTGAAGAACTGTATTTTATATATTGATATTTAAGGAATACATATTGCTTTGTATTGAACTAATTTTAAGACAATACAGATCAGCAAAAAAAAAAACATTTCTATAAGATTTAATTCTCAATGTAGATATATTCTCTCTCTATATTACTTACATTAGCAAGAACATTCGAAATGTTGTCAAGTGCTAGTTAAGCATATAAATAAGTGGTTCAGAACACAAAGTAATACATAATGTTCTACCAAAGTATATCTATCCATGTGATCACATCTTATGATCAGGTCAATTAATCTTTACATTTAAATTCAATACAAACTTGCCTTGAGCACAAATCCATAATTTCAATGTCACTTCCTTCTTTGTCCCTTAAAATGTTAGGAAGTCTATAAAACATAAACAGTAATACTAACCCTTGAACACATTGGTCTCTCCGAAATTAGCTATTCTCCTTGATAAACAAATTATTATACAGGCAGCTGCATTTCTTTCTTTCACGTGGCATCACGAAGTAAAGAGAAACGTACACAACAAAGGAATGAAGCCCCACGGACAGAGACCATAGAGAGCATACACCATGTACAGATAAGATAGTTTGGCTGGTAAAATTTCTACCTTTTCTGAAAGAAACCTGGCAAAGCTATAGGAGTAACCAACCAAGAATTGCAATTGCTACACTTTGATACTTATAGAATGTGGGCAGTATCCATTAAGAACAATCTCTAGAAAGAAAGCACAAAATCCAAAATGTTTATGGGGGCAATTTACATAATTAGCTAATCATCTTTTACCAGTGCCAGTATGAACCTAAATCAGACTATTGTCGCAAAAGCGTTAAATAATGCTGCCGTCATACACTGAAGCCTGATAGCAGTCTGCCAAATAAAGTCAAATTCAGCATTTAGAAACATGTATAATGTTGCCAAAGGTCAAACATCAGCATTATAGCTGCCCTATTATGAAAAAGCTGACCAATTTTTTGCACAAAATGTAAGAATGGAGAACATTTCTCGCTTTTTTCTTTTTGCCCGGAAGTTTCATGCAATCTTTGTAAAACACATCACCAGTAATTTCCATATTTCCTTTATATTCACATTATATTTTGTGCTTTCTTCCTCTGGGAGAGTTAGCCTAAAGAGTGTTCTTCATTGTGAAAAAAATAGATCAAAACTTTTAACAATAATTATGTGTATCGTATATGCACATTTTTTAAGATGTAAGTATCAGATGTTTTCATCTTCTTTAAGAACTTAGTTACATCGTTTTCACAGAAACTAACAAGGTGCTCCCCGCTGCTCCAAGCTATTGTTTTCATAGCCGGATTCTCAACCATATTGCAAACTGCTTTAATTTTTGGATGAATTTGTAATTGCTTATGTGTTCTTTGAGCTTTTCAATGAATGTCTCTTCTTTCCAGATTCCTTTCCTCTTTTTCACAGCTTTCATTTCTGCTTGAAGTAGCCTCTTGTGAAGCTTCCAGTATATCCGGGATTCATGCGCCAACCCTTCAATACGAACTGTCCTGCCAAGCCCCTGTCGCAAGATCTCTTCATTTAGACAAATACTGGAGAATCTCCCCTGTTCAAAAAAGACATTAAAGTTTTGCATAAGACATATACTTAACATATTACATACTATGTCCATTCCAGTAAGGAACAAACATTGAAGCTGAATTCTTCAAGTGACTTGGGCAGTCATATAGACTTTCTTGAGTAATACCATCCTTGTTCAACCTGAATACAGGTAGACCTTGACTTACAACCATTTGTTTACTGGCCATTCAAAGTTACAGTGGCAGCCAAGAGTGACTTATAATAGTCGTTGCACTTGCAACCTTCAATATATCCCATTGGTTACATGATCAACATTTGGGCACTTAGCAACCAGCATACGACAATTAAAGAATCCTGGGATTATGTGACCCCCATTTGTGAACTTCCCAGCTGGCTTCTGACAAGCAAAATCAATGAGGAAAACTGGATTTTCTTAATGAATGCATGATTTGTTTAATAACTGAAGTGATTCACTTAACAACTGTAGCAAAAAAAAGATTGTAAATTGAGTGTGACTCACTTAACAAACACTTTGATTAATAACAGAGATTCTGATTCCAACTGTACTTTTAAGGTGAAAACTACCTTTATTTCTGGATGTATTGGGGCTACTATTTCCAGATTCACAACTTTTGGCTATGTTGGTTGGAAATTCCAGAGAACCGCGCTCCTAACATGTCGGAGGGCAGCTGCCATAGTCTAAGACCACCAATAATGTCTCCCTGAGCACCAACCTCTTCTCCCTCCATTTCCAATACAATAAATAGTTTGCCAAATGTTTGTCTAGGACATTGAATAACATTAACCAGCATCTCTGAATCCAGAATTGATGTAGGACCTTGCTGTTAAGTTTTTACTTGTGAGTAAGAGCCACTGAACTCAGCATAAATTATTTCACACTAATCACTCTTATTGTTTGTGTTCACGGAAGCTCTTCTATTCCCTCTGAACATTTACTTACCTTATTTACTATTACAAAGCAATCAAGTGCTGATTCTTTTCTGCCCAAAAGCTGGAACCAAATCATTTGTGATGGTTTCATTTCTTCTTTTAACCAGATTACACCGTCAGATGTTAACTCCACACCAGCAAGCCTGACAAGCAACAAACCATTTGAGTTCCCTAAAATGATATACATGCATTATTGTTTTATTAGAACATTAGTAAAAATACCTCATTTAGATCATTGATCTAAACAATTAAAGGGGACGAGATAAACTAGAATTTTTCTCTCCAGGATTTAAATGAAAGATTCTAGGAGACAAAGTTAATGTTCTTATCCTTAGAGCTGCTAATATTTTCTATAACTGAAGAAAGCTAAAAACTATTTCAGAAATCAGCCATCCAAAAGTGACTGTTCTGTTCATGGAGAAACCAGTGCACTGAATAATTTGCACATCTATCTTCCTTTTCTAAGTCATGGAATGACAGAAATGACAAAGAACTGCTTCACTACTGGCTTTGAATTCACAGCATGGTGTTGATGGTGATGTAAAGTAATTATAAATACCTACTTCAAGTGAGTATAGAAAGTGTTAAGTAATGTGCATTTATGTAAACTGAAATCAATTCGGATAATGTATAAAGCAGATCTGAAAGATGTAGGCTCTGTATTTTTAGTATTAGTTTTTATTCATTTTTAAAATATATTTTGTATATATTCCTTCAATTACTGTTAATATAAAAATGTGGGATAAAAATAACTTTTTGGTTTTTTGCAGCAAGAAAACACTTATTTGATTCAAAACTTGCCGTTTAGCTCTGGTGAGCACTCAACACAGTTAACAAAACATAAAACAGAACTTAAAATTCACAATAAAATAAACATTAACACTGTCTAACGAGTCTAGCAACCTTCTTCCCCACCATTCCCTACCTTTATTTCCTACACATAGAAAAAGCAAGAAGCAAAAGCAACTTTTCCTTCCCACACACCCGAAATCTGAGCCTCTGACAGTGAAGGCTTCTTCAAAAGAACCTCTCCTGCTAATCTTAACAACTTGACAACCGTAACAAAAGGAACAGTCCTCAAACTCATACTTTAAATCGTTTAAGCCTTCAAAAGTCAATATTAGCATTTTAAACTGTCTCCCGAAAACATCTGGCAAGTAGCATTTTTTTTTAGTGCAGATATAATATGCCTCATTTAACAATCTAGCTGATATATTTTACATAACTACAACCTCTGCACATTTCCATGTCATGCAAAAATTCATCGGTTGTCCCATCTAATGGGACGTTTTCAGAGGTAGTCCCATCTTGAAGTCAGGTAAACCAGATCATGAATCAACTACACAGGAAGATTAAACATACTTTATGGAGGGGCTATCATAACAGAATCTTGCAAGTTTATTCATGCAGTGCTTCTTTCTCCTTCTTACAATCCAATGAATCAGGGAAGTTCTGTCTGAGCCACTTATTTTGGACTTTCAGTTTGGTTTTGTTTTTTGTTTTTTTAAAATAAAAGTTTTATTTAAGTTTTCACAAAACATACAAATACAAATAAAATATCTTTTTTTTGAGAAGAGCGTGCCCCTGGGTTATCACTTCTCCATACAGACATAAACTCAATACATATTTATCTTATACATTCTAATCCATATCTTATAACTATTTTCGCAATTTTTTCAATAGCTTTTCCCTTTCTTTACTTCCTATAGCCTTATTTTAAATTATCTCATTCCTTTCTTAATTCAATTACATATCTTTTTCTAAGTTTTAAAATCTTTCTAATCAATGTTTTTATACTTTCATCGGTCCTGTTTATAATTTCTTATCTTTTCTCATAAAGCAAATTTTCCCTGTAATTACTAGACTGGAGTGTAACACCTTTGTATCTTTTTTCAAATCTTGTTTAAAATTTTAAGTTATACTTTTACAGTTGTAACATTCATTTTCTAACCTCTATTTTAAAACACATACCTATTTTCAATCAAATTCTGCTTGGTACATTCCCTTAAAAATTCACACTAAATTCGTAAAAGAAAAAAGTATACATGTATATATCTGAGTATATATGTATAACAATAGTAAATGGAATAATTGTTCTATTCAAGTACAGCTCTGCCATTAATATTAATAACAGTCTTTTACATTTCTATTTCTTTTAACAAACATTACCTAGTAATATCAGTTGTCTTTCACTTTAATCATCTACATTTCATATTTTACTTATTACTGTCTTTAAATAAAAAACCAAACAATAGTTATTAACAGTAGCCAATACAGTTATTATTCTTATTCAAGTTCATCTTGTCAACTGATAAAAATCTTCCATGTTCTTTTCAGTTTTTTTTAAACTTTCTTTTTAAATCATTGAGAGCCTTATTCTCTTTACAAATATTCCACTACAGAGCAATAGAAATTTTTTCTATCACTTTAATCATCTAACATGTTTTCTAACCCTTTTCTATTTTTAACAATGCTATCCCATGCACCCTTGCAGAATCCTCTCCTTAAGTTAAATTTTAACCATTGTCTCTGTGTCTTTTAAATAGGTTTATATCTTTAATTCTTGTACGCTTTTCCTTACCTCTATGTCTTGTTTCTGTCCTTTGTAGCTTCTTTTCCTTTCCCGCTTCCCTCTCTTCTTCTCCCTCCCCTTTTTAATTCCTTTTTGTATCTGATTCTCCCTTCTGCTTCTTCTTGATATTATGATAACTTTTCAAATTACTCTTTTTTTTGGTTGTTGCTTCAGTACCTAAGTTTTTAACTCCCTTTCCCCCCCCTTTCCCTTTTTTACCCCGCTTCAAATTGCTTGGTCATTAAGATGGCTTCTTCATTGTCCCGCCCTTCTTGTTCTGTCAGCGTTGTTGCTTTTCATAGTTTAAGATCTCCATTTCTAAAAATTGAAATACAAAGCCAAAAGATCCTCTTCCCTCTTGTGCTTCTTCTTTTTGTTCTTTAAGCCTCATTTTTAACTCTTCAAGGAGTGATGCCATTTTAAATTTTTTTAGACAACTCCCAATTGATTTTATTTTGTTTCATTAGGATCCTCCATCCAAAGTTCCAGGAATCATCCAATAATCCAAAACTGTTTCTTGCTTCTTTTCTCACTTTCTCTTTCCAGGGGCTTTGTTATCTTGTAACGAAGTTTCAACTACAATGTATCTTTTGCAAGGCTTGTTAAAATTCCACTATCAATTTTTTTTAAGTTCCAGGTGGTCTCATCCATTTTCCAGATTCCACCCTCTTTTCTCCTTTTTCACTCGACTGCTTTCTTTTTTTTAAAGAAAATTTTTAAATTATCTAAGAATCTTTATCCCTTTGACATTTTATTTTCAACTAGAAATAGCCTATTAATGTCAAAGTGAATTAGTATCAATTTCTTATTCAAATCTCTTCTTCTTAACGTTCCAAGTCAATTAAAACTGTCAATGTGAGAGGAAAAAAACCCAATTCCATTTCCTTTCCCTTTCTCCGCTTAAAATCTTTTTTAGGAATAGTATTAGTCTTTAAAATTCAGATTCCAGGTACCTTAAATAGATGTTCTCCATTCAACCCGGTCAGGCAAACTTTCTCCTTTAAACTTCCTCCTGCACAATCTTGTCCAGTCGGGTTCTTCTTTGAGGTGGCCATTTCTTTTCTTCTTTTTTTTTGTAAATTTTATTTGAGTTTTCACAAAAAAATACAAATAAAACATCTTTTTTGAAAGTAGTATAATCCCTGGTTACATTTCTTCGTACAGACACAAATTCAATTTCATGCTCATTTTTATGTTTTATTCCATATCTTATTACTGTTTTACATTTTCTACACAGCTTCTCCCCTCTTTTAATTTTCTCAATTTTATTTTAATTATCTCTTCTCAATTCAAATCATTATATTTGTATTTTTTGTCTGTCCTGTTTCAATTTCATTATTATCTTTTCTCATTAAACAAAGTTTCTCCTGTAGTTGCTGATTGGAGTATGACACCTTTATATCTTTTAAGTTTATCCATTTAACTCTGATTTAGGCTTCAAAATATACCTTAAAGTTTTAACATTCAATATAATACATAACTTCCATTCGGATTCTGCTTGGTACATTCTTAAAATACATACTATATTCTTAAAAAAAAAAAAAAGATTATAAATATGTGGAATTAAAACACCACATTCCATTCCAATTCAATTCTATCATTAATGTTAATATTCATTAAAATCTTAACTTCTTTAACATTACTTTTCAATTAAATATCTTACTTCTATGGGAACAGTTATAAGCTTACCATGATTAATTCCCCCCCACACTTATATTTAATAAAGCATTAACTAATTAAAATGTTCCCGGCCCTTTCTAATTCAATTTTCTCATTTATTTTATTTCATTTATTTTATTAACAAACATTTCACGAAATTACACTAACTATTTTATCCCTCATTTTAATCATACATTGTTTCCAATTTTCTAAAGTTATTTCTATTAGTAATATAATAATACAATCCCATGTATCTTTACAGAATCCCTTTTTCCATTAAATTTTCATCCATTATCTCTAAATAGGCCCTGTTTCTCTATATCATGTTTCTGTCCTTTGTAACTTCTTCTCCTTTCTTTCTTCCCTCTCTTCTTCTCTCTCCCCTTTTTACCCCCATGTCTCTCTACCTCTATTTTTCTCTTCTGTATTCCCTTCTGTTGCTTTCCAGTGTTATACTTATTTTTCGAATTATTTTTCTTTTCTTTGGTTGTTTTTTTAAGTCTTAAATTCTCCCTTCTCTTTCCCCTCTTTCCTTTTTCTTACCCACATAGAATTACTTGTTCATTAAAGATGACTTCTTCTTTGTCCCAGTCTTCCTGTTTTGCAGACGTTTCTTATTGTTTCTCATAGTTCCAAATCTCCATTTCTAATAATTGAAAAATGAAGCTAAAAGAACCCCTCCCTTCTTGTGTATCTTCTTTGTACTTTTTAAGTTCCATTTTCAGTTCATCCTGAAGTAGTGCCATTGTATAAATTTTTAAACAACCACCCGAATAATTTTAGTCATTCAAATGCAATAACCAAGAATCCAAAAATCACCAAGTAATCCAAATACACGCAGGCTGTTTCTTTTTGCTTTTTTTTTAACTTTCTCTTCCTGGGGTTCTACTGTTTGGTTACAAAGTTTCAGTTAAAATGTATCTTTTAGAAGTCTTGTTGAAGTTTTACTGTAGATTCCATTCAATTCAGGCAGTCTCCTCCCTCTTTCCAGATCCTGCCCTTTTATTCTTTTTCTCTCCTTTCCTGCTTATGAAAAATTTTTTAGTGTCCAGAAATCTTTGTTATCCCTTTGACATTTTGTTTTATTTTCAGCTTAATTGCCTGTTAATGTCAAAGCGGATTTTTCTGATTTCTTATTTAAGTCTCTTAGTTGTCAGTATAGGGAAAGGGAAAGAAGAAAAAAAACCCAAACCTTTCCCTTTTCACTTTCCTTCGCTGCTTCCGACTCTTCTTTGGGAATGATGTTATTTTTTTGTAAGTTTAAATTCCAGGGTACCTTAGTTGTTGCTTTGCAATTTGACCCGGTCAGCCAAAACTTTCACTCCTTATCTGCCTCCTGCACATTCTTTTCCAGTCGAGTTCTTCTTTGAGGTGGCCATTTCTGACCACCGCTGCAACCGCCTTCGGGAAAGGGAGTAATGGCAGCTGAAGAGGAGAGATGCGGCTCTCCTCAACCCTGCTGGCAGTCTCCCCCCTCTTCACCACCTCTACGGGGTGGCTTAGCCTGAAACCGGCCGGCTCAGGATGCTCTAGCAGTGAGCCCAGACCGAAACCATGCACGATCGCAGATTTCTGTCTGTCGCCAAAGAAGCTCAAAACCGGAAGCCCTGAGGTGGCCATTTCTGATCACCGCTGCAACCACCTTTGAGAAAGGGAGTAATGGCCAGCTGAGGAGGAGAGATGCGGCTCTCCTCAACCCCAGAGGGCTCCCCCTTCTTCACCACCTCTACGGGGTGGCTTCAGCCCTGAATCCGGGCGGTCCAGCAGCAAGCACGGATCAAAATCATGCACGATTGTGATTTCAGTCCGTTGCCAAAGAAGCCCAAACTGGAAGTCAACTTTCTGCTTGTTTTGGATTTAAATCATATTTTTTTCCTTGTTGCTTTGGTGGCAGATCTTGCCTAACTCTGTCAAGATCATTTTCCTTATTTTGTACAGGAATATACTGCAGTAGTCAACATGGATGTGGTCAAGGCATAAATAATCACTGTCAAACTGATGAGGCTGGGAAAGGGATATAGTTGGTATACCACATATAACTGTACAAAGGCACTTCTCACAACAGCTACTGTCAATGGTTCCAGTGACAGCTAAAGAATAGAGTATTCCAAGATTATGAATATACTCTTTAATGTACTCAATTCAAAGCAGTCTGAACCTTAATCTCTCTGCCTCCAAGCTTTTTTTTAACCTCATCCATAGTCTGTATTTAACCTTTTTCTTACTCAGCCTAATATAGTTAGTAGCAGTCAAGGATAGCCAGTGTGGTATAGCATAGCAGCATAATGTTGTGTGTTTGGATTAGGGCTGAGTGAAGTTGAAGTCTGCCTGTAGCCATGAGAATTCTGTATGTGATTTTGAATCCATTGCTCTCTCCCAGCCCAACTAATTTCACATGGCTACTGTTTTGAGGATAAAATGAAAGAAGATTCCACGCAAATCATCTTGAGTTTTAGAGTCAAGGCAGATTAGAAAGGCCTAAATAATAATATACTCTGGAGGGGTAAAACCTACTAAAATAAACACATTATTTTTCCTGCTGTTTTATCTTTTTTTTTTCCCTCCAAAAGCTCAAATCAAGCATGCCTTCATTTTATCTTCTTACAGATAGTCCTCATCTACTGACCACAATTGGGACAGGCAACTTGGTCATTAAGTAAAGTGGTCACTAAGTGAAATTGTGACTGTGCTTATGATCTTCATCTTTCCTTTGCTTTTCAGACCTGCCAATGTAAATACAAGCACTGCTCATAAAGTTACATATTCATCCCTATTATAAGTGCAAACTGTTGTTAAGTGAGGTAGTCACTAAACAAGAACTACTTATAAAGTCATTGTGGGATTTCAGGCTGAAAGACATTGTCTCATTTGACTCAAGTCATCCAATGGCTGAAAAGTACATGAATATGCCTATCTTCATTCCCATCCAACTCTCTATCAATGAGTTTAGTGCTTTAGTGAATAGTTAGTTTCCACTGTCCCATTATAGTTAGAGTTTCCATTGTCTCCTTAACTTAAACACCAAAGGGCTAGGAAAAAGTGTCAACTTGGGGAAAAGATGGAGTTCCTTTAAGATACAACCTTCAGAGGCAGTGAGGATTCTCATATCACATCCAAAGCGTTCTTAACTACTTTGAATCTGAATATTGCAGAACTTTAACATACAAGTACATGGTAAAATATAGATTGCATTTGCTTTTCATATGAATTTTCTAAAGGTAGCCACTCAATCATGTTTAGAATTCCTTAAATTCAAATCTCTAAAAAATGTTTCAAACCTGTAAAAGAATTAATAACTTCCCCACTATTAAAGTACCCATCTTACTTACATCTTTTCTGCAGAGAGGAAATGATCGGAAGGGTAATAGGTACATGTTCAATTTCTAATCCTTGCTCGGTTATTTGACGTAATTGTCCACGTAGTTTAACATTCTTCTCTATAAATTCCGGAGGTATTTCAAAAGCATTTGTGAATTTGGCTGTCTATTCATAAGAAAAAAGAATATAAGCAACGTCTATTACAAATATTATAAGAATATAAATGTGGCTATGCAGTATTTGGTCTAGTGGTTCATGCAGAAGACTAGAAACCAGGAGACTGGGAGTTCTAGTTCTGCGTTAGGCAAGAAAACTGGCTGGGTGACTTTGGACCACTCATTCTCTTTCAGCCCTACTCACTTCACAGGGTTGTTGTTTTGAGGATAATAGGAGAAGGAAGGTGTATTAAGTATGTTTTCACTCTGAGTTATTTATGAAAATAGTCAAAGCAGGAAAAAACAAACAATGTATTTTATATTTATTCCCTGGTAAAATTAAATATGTAATTATATAACATATATATTTTATATATTTGAATACATATAATAAATGTAAAATCATTAGTTTAACTTGGTCAAAATTGTCAAGGTATATCCACTGTATTATAAAATGCTCCTTTTATTACTAATTCTCACTCTATAAAGTGCTGTGAAGATTGAACATCAATGGTTTCATGGAAGATACTTTAAGCATGCAATTTTTATCTAAAGGAACACTTCAAAAAAAAAAAAAATACAGTTTATATCTAAATAAAACAAGCTTTATAGAAAGCTTATAAAACACCACCCTGAATTTTACTTAATGTAGAATGTTTTCATACTTTATAGGGAAATAAACTTTTAGATGGGCTCTTTAGTTGAGATGGTCTCTTCTACTTTAAAAGAAGTAAGAACAAGAGGAAAGGAGTAGCTATGCAATTAGGATTTCCTACCAGATTGGTCCTTGGGAGATGCTATTCATGTAACATCCCTCCCGTATTATATGAAGGTTAGAACACCACGATTTAAATTATTTTTACACTATCTCTCTTGTCCTCTTACAAGGCCTCTTCACCAACATACTGTAGAAGCCCTTGAAAGTAATGTGTGAAGGTCTGTAAACAAACTGAGTAACATAATTCCAAGAAATGTATTCAGTATAGCATTTCAAGGTCTAAAACATCTTTTTTTAAAAAACAAAAAAGCAACAAGCATATTTTAAAATAAAAATATTAAAACATGGGAATATTTATGGCACCAAATTTTTCATTGTACATTAAGACCCCTTGTACACAGAAGGTTAAGTTCAATGTATAATATGTAGAGCAGCAATACATTAAGGTTGTGATTACCAGTATAAACTTCTACAAATATTTTCTTTATTTTTTTACATTCATTAGTGAAAGACTTTGGCAAGTTCCTTACTTAGAAGAACCCATCAAATAGAATCATTAATGAAAAATCTCTGTGCCATTATTTCAGTCAGCAACATTCTGGCAAAGTCTTTCAGAATATGGCCTCCGACACCAAATGAATAAAGTGAGATCCCTAAAACTTGTAAACTATAACGGTTGATAGTTTGTAAAACTCTACCAAAAAGGCAAACAAGACTCAAAGCAATATAAATCTGCTTTCTATTTTGCTTTGAAAAGACAGAATAGGTAGTCCTCTCTCAATGATATGTAATAAAAATTTCTGGTATTTATTTGAAACAAAACAGGCTGTATTAAAACAAGACTTGGCTGTTCCAATTTACGTACACACACTCAATATGTATTTATACTCAAAATGTAACTTACCAATTTGATACTCTTTGCAAGTACAATCGCTCCAGCTATTGCCAATCCAGTACTTATGTTCTAGGAAAAAAACCCATAAATTATTTCAAAAATATGTATTTCCATCTCACGGCTTGAGTTCTAAGCATATCCTTTATCTCAGTCTTATAAATATTATCTACAAAATACCACATGTTCATTTTAAATACCAATTGTTGCCTAAAAATGGAATATAGTCACAAATGTATCTAAGTTTTAGAAAACTAAGTCACAAAATCTCCAAACTTCATAGGTTTATCATTTTAATCCTTTATTAAATGTTGTAATAACGAGGCAGTCAAGGTGTTTGATCATGATCAAATGAATCATGAAGAACTTTATTGGAATCTAGTCTTGCATTTATACACATTTTTATTTATCCTCCAACATTGGTTAACTTTGGTTTCTGCTTGACTTTCGTTATTGTTCAGCACAGTAACTAACACAATTAATGATCTCTGGTCAAAGTCTAACACATGTTTACTTCCTCTCTCTAATCCTCCTTTACATTAGTGACTTGGTTTGCCTGAGTTGTATTTGCTTTGGAACCTTCATTACCTGAGGTTTGCCATCAAGATAAAGACATTCCTGCAATTACAACTCTATAATTAAATTGAAATGATTCTGCAAATTTGGAACTAGACCATTCTGAGTAGAAGCTCAGGTGAGTACAGGTAGTCCCTGACTTATAACAGTTCATTTAGTGACAGTTTGAAGTTACAAAGGTACTTTAAAAAGTGACTTTTGACTATTTTTCACACTTATGACTGTGGCAGCCACCCCATGATCAAAAGTTGGATGCTTAGCAATTGATTATATTTATGATGGCTGCAGTGTCCCAGGGTCATGTGATCACATTTGCGACCTTCTGACAAGCAAAGTCAATGGGGAAGCCAGATTCACTTAACGACCGTTATTACTAACATGACAACTGCAGTGACTCACCCAACAAGTATGGCAAAAAAGGTTGTAAAATGGAGCAAAATTCACATAACAAGTATCTCGTTTAGAAACAAAAATTTTGGGCTCAATTGTGGTTGTAAGTTGAGGACTTCCTTTAATTAGGATCTGATGTATAAAGGATGCTTTGAATTTGGAAATGTCTCATTAAGTGCCGTGTAAACTAAACCAGACCAAACCACACAACTACATTATGTACTGTGAGCTACCCCAAAGCTTCAATCTGTGCAAAATGCAACTAGGGTTGGATTAGTTTAGTACTTGGTAAATTAATGAGGAAATTGAAAAAAAATCCCCAAAATTGTAATGACAAATTGCTATTCAGGTAATCTTGATTTATGACCACAATCCAGACCAGAATTTTTTGCTAATGCCATTATTATTACCTCCTGTTTATACACCAGCTTGCTAACTTCTACAACTTAATTTTAAAATACTGTAAATAACACTGTAATTTCATTATTTGATTATAAAGAAAGACTGTTTCCAGCAATGAATTTGGAGACCTTTTCATAAACCTAATTTATATTGCTATAAATGTATATAAAGTTTCTTACACTAAGATTTTACTTAATCTGAAAAATATATTGCAATCATAGGTTTTTTTTCTGTCAAAATGCCTTGAATTCAGCAGGTGCATAGAATTTCTTTCCTTGAATTCAGTTTCCAAATCTGATGGCTCCCAGAACTTTTCAACTACAACCTCCATAATCTTTTACCATTGGCCATGATAAGTGGGCCTTCTGCAAATTACAGTACGCAATAAAACAATTCTGATCCATGAACAAGATCCCTCATGATAGGAACGCTTATGCTTTTCCCCCCCCCAAAGATCATGAATGATCTGAATGTCTTTGAAAGGATACATAATGCAATAAAGGGACCATTATTCGGTTTAAGCCATCTCAAGACACATTTTCCAGATAGAAATTCTATTTGTTGTTCACAATAACTTTGGAACCCAGGAGGTTTCTTCTATGCAATTAAACCATTCATTCAAAACAATACACACACCCACACCTGTCTTCTTCTGTCTCTAGAACATATGGTGTGCGAAGAAGACCCAGAGCGATAAACCAGGTGCTAAAAGACCACAATGGTTGTCATTTAAATCCAGAACGGATGGCCATTCCGACCTGTCTCACTTTATAGGAATTTAAGGCCGAGGTTGAAAGCTACAGGATAGGAAGGAAAAGCGCACGGAAACTCTGCATCTATAGAAGCTCTACTATCCCTTACTATACTCAGACTCTACTATAAATTCAGGGTCATTTTTGCTGTAGTTGGAACCGGAGCAAAACCGGCTCCGGCAGCCCCGCTTCCGCCCTCAGGCAGCGGCGCAGTGCAGCCCAGCCCAAAAACTACGCACGACCAACCCTCCGCTTTGGCCGGACCGATTCCAGGCGCGTACCCGAACGAGGGTGAGATGCGCGTCCGCCCACTCGGAAAGACGCGCAACATAATTCGGCGGTTCTCCGCCCTTCTGCCCGGCCATAGTCGCCTACCAGCCGTCGCGGCCTGTCGCTTCCTCTTGCCGCGGCTGTCTCGGGCCTTGCAGCAGCAGCAGCGCCGCTTTCTGGGCGCTGGGAAGAGCTGCGTCTCTTCGAAAGCACCCGAAGGGCCTTTTGGAGACGCTCTGCCGTCGCAGAGTCGCAGCTGCAGATCCAGCGCCTCTTCCGCCGTTGGGTGGGAGGCTTAGCGAAGTAAGACCTGCTTGTGATCCCGAATCCAGCTGTCCCAAAGGTGCTTTTTCAAAAAGCAACTGGACTTTTTCTTTTTTCTTGAAGACGTTTTCGCTTCCCATCCAAGAAGGTTCTTCAGCTCTGCAACATTTCAGTCTTTCAGAACTGAAGAAGCTTCTTGGATGAGAAGCGAAAGGTCTTCAAGAAAAAAGCAAAGCAAAACAAAGAAAGTCCAGCTGACTTTTCACAAAGCATCTTTAGGACAACCTGAAGGACTGAGAATCACCATAGACATGAATCCAGGTGTGGTGGGTTTTTAATATAGCCTGTCCTGTTGTGTTTTGCATAGCACTGAGTATAAACAAGCCCGCTGCTAAGTTTAAGATAATTAAATATTTCCCAATGCAGGGCAAGCTGCAGTGTTTTGTATCTATGAGCCTGAAGCAGCAGGACCTGAGGGAACTTATGGGAGTTGCAGTCTAAAACATCTGGAGGATACTGGGTTGCCTTTTCTAGCCATAAATAAAGGAAAATCCCTCAAACTCCCATATATTAATTACTCAACAGTACCAGAGGTACTTTGCTGGGTGAAGGGTGAAGAGATTAAAATAAGTTTTTAAAACTTTGTGAATGATACAGTAAAGAAGCCCGTAAATTAAAATATATCCTGGAAAAAAGAGCAGAGGTAATTCGCTGGGGACAAATGAGGAAAGCTTTGTCTCATTGGAACATCTGCCCTTTTGTACGTACATATAGTGATGTTGTACCATTATATAAAGGCAAAATAAAGATTGCTGCATTGATTCTGTGGACACTTCTGGAAAATGAGAGCTTTTCTTCATGTTCCTTGACAAAATGATCATAGGACTCAAGATAGGAAAGCCTAAGAATATAGTTGTGGAGCTCAGTGCATAATTATAATAATCCCTACAATATGAATTTGTATAAATAGAAACAAAGCTGCACCAAACTGCTGCACCATTTTATCCATGGACCGGACAGAGAGAGACGATGTGAATCAGTTTCAAAAGATTCTGTCCCTCTCATGGTTGTATGCAATGTCTTATTATTTAAGGCCTAGTATTTAATATTTTTTCCTTCCCTCTTATATTCTTTCTGTATCATGATGTTTAGAGTGAAAGCTTATGAGCAGGATTTTTTTTTTTACCATTCTAGAAATCCTTTTGATTGAAAATGGGGTGGTAAGTGAAAAATATGTAGACTCATCTTTGACCATGGAGTACATACTATATAGTATACAGTACAGGTAGTCCTCAACTTATGACCAAATTGAGTTCAAAATTTCTGTTGCTTAGTGAGGCATTTATTAAGTGAATTTTGCCCCATTTTATGACATTTCTTGCTCCACTTGCTCAATGAATCACTGCAGTTGTTAAGTTAGTAACACACCATTGTTACATGAATCTGTTTGCCCCATTGACTTTGCTTCTCAGAAGCTGCAAAAGGTGATCACATGATCCAGGACACTGCAAGTCATAAATATGAATAAGGTGCCAAGCATGTAAACTTTGATCATGTGATTATGGGGATGCTGTAACGATTGTATGAAGAACAGTCGTAAGTCACTTTTTTCAATGCTGTTTTAACGTAGAATGGTCACTAAATGAATTGTTGTAAGTCAAGGATCACCTGTATACTCTTGGCACCATCTATCCAGCAGATACTTGTCATTCTCTTATTGGAAGAGACAGGGTTCTTGGAAAATATATATCAGTGTTGATACTGATTGACTGTTTACATCTCTGCAATCTGAATATATTTTTTTCTGAGATAAAGAACTCTGCATATGCTCCATGATAGGTATTGTGGGACTGAGTACTTAGGAACTTGACATTGCATTTAATTCATGGAGCACATTAAGATGTAGTCACAATTCCAACTTTGCTAGAGTTTAACCCCAAAATTACCATCAAAGAAATATTCATAAAATAATCAGTAGCATTTATGATATACATTCAACATCAGAACCTGAAAACTGCTTCAGAGACAATCATGGAGACGTTTGTAAATTTCAATTATATGATCAATAAACGTAAAACTAATGTTCAGGGCTGGATCACAAGGAATACAGAATAGGTATATATAGAATATACCCTAACCCTAACCCAGTCCAATCTCTGCCATCTCCAATTAACAGGGCAGGAAACAGGTGATATGAAAAATTCCTGAGGCCCTGGACAATGACTCCTTGTTGGATAAATAGGATTATGTAGACCAAAGAGCTAGTGTAACAGAGATTTCTGTTGTTAAAATAACACATGGTTGTCATCTTTCAGATGCAACATTTCTTCTCAAAGACTATTTCTTCTAATTAACCTGTGACCTTCTCCAGAGTTTTTTTGAAAGTGAGGGAAAACAAATAACAAGATGCAAGAATTTGCTATCATTATTTTGAACATTTCAAAGGCTGCTCCAAATCTTGAAGGAAAATTGACCATGCAGCCCTCTTGCAATCTTCTAAAAGTTGGTAGACAATTCTTTTTCAGAAGATCGACAGAATAAAATATTGTTTCCAATTTAATTAGCATTTTAAGTATTCAATTGCTTTCCTCTTTCTTCTGTTACATAATGGAGCTCTTGGAATCTCTGAAATTATAACATACATATATTTAAAAAATAGTCTAAGGGGAGGAGAACCTTTCCAATTTTTTTCAAGTTTCTCTCTTTAAGTTTTGGAAAAAAAATAGGTATTGCTTTACATTTTTATGTAACCATGTTCAGAAGCAGAACCATCTTCAGAAGCAGAAAATACTTTGGAAATTGAATATTTAGAAAGAAACTGCATGATCAAGAAACCAGGCAAACTATTCACTGCTTTTCTGTTCAAAATCACTATTTGTACTGAAGCACAACTTTCCTGTTTAGCTTACCAATACACAAACAAAAATTAAAAGTTGATCTTGCTTTATTGAAATAAGCAAAAAGAGCTTTCAAGGCTTTGTAATGTGGCATTTTGATAAAAGCACTTGTACCAAGAAAATTGTACTTTGTTCTCTGTTCTCATGCTTACGAATGCTTAATAAGATTTAAAGCAAATGAAAAGCTTTAAATATTTTAAAGAATCCAGTAAACATTTCTGTTAAATTATCATGAATTTATTTTTGAAGTAAACCATTTTTGAACTTAAAAGACCAGCAGTTTCTTCAAGGTGCTTAACAGTTAGTTCAAAAGTTTTTTTTAAAGTGTGCTTGTAAGTGCATTTTCTGATTTTATGCTCTACTACTGAACCCCCTCAAAGCTCAATTATCAATTTTTCCAAAATATACATTATATACGTTTTCATTCATCAAAATATTTTCAGAGTTACTACCCATCATTAAACTGTTCATAACTAGAAATAAATTTTTAATATTTGAGAATGCTTTTCTTCAATAACCATTCACAACTCATAAAATTACATGGAATAGATTTGATTGTATTCTGTTTTCCCTCAAGTTATTTTATAGGGTATGCAAACCAAGGGAAATAATATACTGCCCGCTATTTTTCAAGTCATGTTTGATTAAACTTTGAAGAAAATGAAGTCTTCATAATATCAAGGCAGAATAAAAGCATGGCATGGGTAACTAATACAAACAAAACAAACCCTAACTTTATAAATCTTAATAATGCAAACCAGAATAGATAGTGGCAGACTGCTGATTTAAGTTGCAAGATAAAAAAAATTAAGCCTCGATTACCAAATAACATTCTCATCGAAATTCAAATCATTCTTTACAAGTTTCGCCTTTGATACAAGATTGCTACTATTTTAAAAATCCCTGATTTTGAAATTTATGATCATATGTTTTCTTTTTATTGAGGTAATTATATTTGATTGTTCCTATCTAAAAGTTGTTACCAGCGTTTTCTCATTTAATAATTTAGCTGAAATTATTAGATGTACGAGATGCTGAATGTTATTTATTCCAATTCAGTAACTTATTTAATCAAACTTTGGTAAAAAAACCACCAGAATATTTCTCAACCAACTTACTTCATTTGGAGTCTGCACAGAAATTATATGAACTAGCACAAAACCTCCCCCCGCCCCTCCCCCAAATCTCAGCTTTTACTACCTATACTTAATTCTCATTTAATATTGGTTCAGGTTAAAAACACACAAACATGTCTTTAACTTATGATAGCCTATAGTATATTTACCCTATATATACTGCAAAAATAGAAATATTACCCAGGTTATATGAGTAAAGATTTGGGGACACTGTTGTACATCAGTAATTAGTGCCTAAAAGTAAAATTTAAAAAAGCTTTAACCCATGACTCTTAGAAGCGAGGCTAATAGTAAGCCTCCCTTGAAATTTGAATATATTTGTGTTTTTGTGTTTGTATAAAGCCTTGAAAACTGTATTTAGAAATAATTGCTTAATTTGTATCTGTGCGGGACATACCTGGAACATATTCTGATTGTGTACTAAGATCTAAAGCAACCACATACAAAATATATAAAAGCCCTAGGACAATGCCGTATCTCACAAGCTGGGCTTTTTTTTAGATTGAGGAGCATAAGACATGGATTTAGATTTGGCTATCAAGACTAAAATAATTATTTTAAACTTATTTTTGCATTTCAAAAGTGAGTTTAATGCTTGTGGAAAGGAGAATGCTGTTTGAGAAACATCACCCCCAGTCTCCTTGAACACATTTTTTTTTAATGTCAACTTTTATAATTCAGGTGATATTTCAAATCTCATATTCTTAAAAACTTAACTTTATTGATTCTGAATTTTATCAATTTACATAGTTTATTTTACATTGCTAGAGTTTTGTTTAAATGGATAATCCTTATTTATTTTGGCACATTGTATTAACAGTAATACAGAATAGGAAAACATAAAAAGGCTATTTCATCACTGATGGTGAATACTCCTGGTTATACAGTTTTTCTTAGAAGAAAGCCCTGCCCCTGCTGAAAAGGCCTAGAAACAACTAATGTTTTAACAGAACTCTTATCTGGAAGAAGGAAATCCTGAGAATAATTATTTTAAATATTTCTCCTTTCCTATTGTCTCATCTCTAGCCACCTTTCTCTGGCCTTCATATTCGAGCATATTCACTATATTTATTAAAACCATTAATTATGGTTATTGTATTTGTGCTAATTTTTGCAATAAAAATAAACCAAATTTAAGGAAATCCAAATCAAATGGTTGTAAAGTATTAATGAAAATGAAGTCTCTTTATTGTGAGCACTATGGAGTTTTCATTCAAGTTACCAAATTTGATTGCTCATCTGATTATTACTATATTTTATAATATAACATATTATACTATTTCAATTATATGTTATCAGTATCTCAGAGCAGCATGTCAGAATTTCTATCGCAAATTCTAACAGAAGTGTCAAGCAAACACAAAAGGTTATCTTGATAAGGTTAAAATGTATTTGAAAAATAACCTTATTTTTATTTTCTTTGAATTATTTCCTCTTCATTTCATTGCAACACACATCTGTGTGTATTTTAAAATATATATTTTCTAACATAAATATTAGAAGTTTAAAATTTATTCACTCTGAAAAGAGCTTCAAACAAAACAGTGTAAATCATAAAAAGATTCACATGGAATCAAAAATGTCAATTTCAGAAAGAACTGACTTATTGAAATAATGAGTAAAACTGAGACAGTATATATCCCTGGTATGAGGGCTTCAATATTTCTCCCTAGTGTCAAAAGTATGACACCATTTTATTTTTGAATAAATGTTCATATGAAAGATGTATACAATACATCAAATGCTATACAGAGCCCATTTCCATATGATATACCTTATATTATATATCATCAGTCTAAAAAATGTCCTCTAGTGTTCATTGAAACAATTACTTAGATTCCTGACATCAGCAGAAATGGGTATATCTTATGAGAATGACACTTATATGCTAAAATTTAACAGTACAGATATTTGATCACCATCTTACATAACTTGTTTCCAGAAGGCACTAAATATTCCGCTTAGTCCTATTTGGGTCCCATACGCAAAAAAAAAAAAAAAAAAGAGTATTCTCCATTCTTCATAAACCATAAGTTTGGTTTTTCATGTGCAAACTCTTTTCATCAATTTTATATCTGATTCTAATATTTTGAAAAACTTCAGAACCAATTAATATGCCTCTGTGGCTTGGGGCTATTTATGCTGTAAACTATTAGTACTGTACCAAATCTGAACTTTAAAAGAAAAAAAAAAGCATATCACTATCAAAAATATATTATTTTTTTTTATAAATCTTTAAATTTCATAGGAGCAAGGCAAAAGAAAGATAGAATCTGTTATCCTCATTGTTTTGACCTATTTAGAATTACGGTAAGCAATATAAAACATGTACATACATATAAACCTTTTTTTCTTTCTAAAGTATTTTAACCAGGTAGATTCAGTATTTATTATAAATTAAAATTATTGTAAGTTCCTTTAAGGATATTTTTTTTCTTCAAAGGTAACTTTAAGGACATAAAAGAAAGACAATAACTGTAATTTAGAATAGTAACAGATTTTAAATGTTTTTATAAAGTAATTTAAAAAACAACTTTAAGGGTAAGAAGGGCAAACTTTATAATTGATCCGTACAGTACTTAACTTGACTTTAGCTTTTGTAAAGTCATTTGGCATGTATAAATTGACCGTTTTTAGTGTGGATACTTGTTCTCTTGTACATTTGTCATATGACAAAGCTATAGCCATTTTAGTCAGTCTTTTGTGATATTTCATTTTCATTAACTGATTCTTCTGCATTTCCATGACGCCGGTTGCTCATCCTGCAGCCTTTTCAGTCTGGGCCCAAGAAACAGCCACCAAGCAAATCCCAATACTATGCATGTTATGGATTCCACATAATAACCATCCAGAGTAATAGCACAAGTTCCACCTTCTTTTGAGCAAAGCTGTAATACAAAAAACCAGACGGGAGGAAGGGGTGGGTGGGATAGTGAACAAGTGATAAGTATATCAGGCATAGATAAACAGATTGTTTTTGACATATGTAGCACATTAAAACATTTTTCTGAATGCGTAACTTCCATTGTTTTAATGTGCATCATTTAAAAAGTATGTAAAATATTTAAAAATGGACTAAGCTGCTGAGAATATTTGTTGACAACCTACAATCTTTGGCCTAATTTCAAAAGACTTTGTAAGAATATATATATATTTACCTATTACATGAGGAAGAAAGAGGAGCACTACAAAAGTGGAGATTCATCTTTGAATCTGAAGGTGGAGCAAGTAAGAAGAGCTAGGGATGTTTTAATTTGGATTTTTTTTTTTTTTAACGAACAGGAGTTTTGTCTTGATGGCCTAAAATGGTCACCCTCATCATAAGCTTTCCCCATGGTATGGTACAAAACGGAAAAACAAAACAGAACTATAATTACAAATCAGTTCAATAAAATGAGCTAATTACAGATAGTGCTCAATTTACAATTATTATTGAGACTTGAATTTTGGTCCTAATTCATTTTGGTTGTAAGTCCAGGCACCCATGAGAGTAGACTCTTTTTACCGTTTTTATAGCAGTCACTAAGCGAATCATGCAGTTCTAAGTCAGAATCATGCCGTTATTAAGCAGTCATGCAGTTAAATGAATCCATTCTCCCAAATTGGGGGGGGGGGGTGTCAGCAAAAACCAGCAGAAAATAGTCACATGGCCATAGGATGCTGCAACTGCTCAAAAGTGCTCGTTTCTAAGTGCCTGAAATGCAATCATGTGATTGAGGGGAGTGGGAGATTTTATAACAGCCAGAAGTGCTTTTACATGCTGTGAAAAGCACACTTTCTGAGGCCACAGGACACTGCAAGCAACTGAATTTTGATCACATGACCACAGAATGCTGCAAATAGTCGTAAGTCTGAAAAATGGTCATAAATCATTTTTCTCAGTGCCACTGTAACTATGGTCACTAAATGAACTGTTGTCAGTCAAGGATTACCTGTATTTGGTTCCATTACTTTGCTCTCTCTATGTAAATTATTGTTTTTATTGTTTTAAAATGTTCTTAGTTTTAACCGTATTATGTTTATTGATTTATAAGCCACCTAGTGTTACTGACTGAGATGGGCAACTATAAAAATTGATTGATTGATTGAATGTTTTAGCCAGGCACACTGAAGTCATCTATAAATGGTATTTTTATATTATTTTTGATAATGTGCCATCAACTTAAATGTTCCCTTTTAGCAACTATACAAACAGACTTTTTTCCAGGATATTTTTTTCTAACCTGTAAAAATATTATTCATGGCTTTCCGAAGAAGTTTGGATATCAGCCCAATTTGGCTTAATGTTACTTCTTTTGGAATCTTTAATCACAACTAGTTTGGAGTAAACAGGAAATTATTATCAATGCAAGGTGTCCAATTTGTTTGTCAGTACCATTCTGATGCAATGCATGGTGCAAAATACATAGTGTTCACAAGGGTTGCATGTAATCCAAAGTAATCAGGTCAATTTGTGATTATCTAAATGCAGCTATTATGCTCAGTTAAGGAGAACAATTAAAAAAATGTGGATTGCAGCCAAAGTAGAAGAGATTGATCAAGAAAATAGTTTTAATCATTGTGCTGCAATTGAATTATTAGCAGAGCAAAAACACTCTAGGTGGACCAATGAAACATGGGATCCAGTAAGACAAAGGAGAAGTACCTCACTAGCAAGCAGGATGCAAATTCAAACTAACAATTTATTTAAAAACTTTCTAAAGGGGCTCATAATCCATTTTAAATTTATAAAATCAGCCTGGAAATCTAGTATCACCATGTTACCATTAAGATGGGGAATCTGTTTTGCACCACACTTACCTCTGTAGCAGCTGAAGTCCCGCAGCTGTGACCTTGAATTCCAACACATTGCTTCACTGTAAGTGGGTCCACAAGCCACAGAGCTACTGTGGCTGGCCAGTTTCCTCCCAGATTGGATACTGTGTTAAGCAGTGTCATGTACGTTCCTCCAATGAGTGGGTCACTAACTCTGGCGTTGAAAGCCATTATAGCAACATACATGCTGTATACAGTAACCTGGAAGACAGCAAGCACCAAGGTATGACATGATTTTTTATTCAAACCATTAATATCCTGCTCTTCTAGAATTGGGATAAGAACCTTTTTTTGCTCCTGAGAGCACATATAACAGATTCCAATACATCTCATTCCTATCCTGTTGTATTAAAAGAACCTTGTAAGATTCTGGTTGTTAATGAACTCCACCAGGATTGTTCCTTGCATAATGAAATGATTAATTATATGACAAAAAATTATTATGAATCACATAACTCTTCAGCAATTAATGCACACCACCCAATTAGTCAATCAAAATGAAATTGCACTGTGTGTACAAATATGCATACACATATATATACTGTACATAACTACATACATACACATCTGCATGCACATATATGTGTGCATGTATAAGCTACACACATTTCAAAAGTGATTCTAAAAAATGTTCTGAATCTCCACAATGGCAGCATTAAAGAAGACTACAACTGTTATTTATTAAAGCAACCCAGCATTTTTCAGGTTTACATGTGAGCCTAAACAGAGATGCTACTGCTTTCAATAATCCATTCATTAAAGATCCAAGACTTCTTGAAGCAATCATACTTAAACTGAACTAATAACTCCACCCGTGTATGCAACCTTACCTGATGTAAGGCATAACTCAGCAATAATACAATGTAATAATAGATTGGAAATCCTCCTTCATACTTTACTCTGGGAGTCCACCAAAACAGGAGAGCAAATTCTAATCCAAATAGTAGCCTACAACAAAAATATGAGAATATTTTTAATTAATAATGAAACTGTTTCTGTGATATACAGAACCACATGACTATCTGATTTTCAAAGTTTTAAATCAAAGTTATGAGTGGGAGATAACTTTAATTCACGAACAAAAGGGTCATCTTCTGGTGTGAATATGTGAATTGAGAAACATGAAGACAGAGATGCACTTGGCTGATATCAAGTAAAACATTTCTTCTACACTTCTACAAATAACATAAAACTGATATATGTTTTAACAAGAAACTATCGTCCTTCGTATCTTGCTTTATTTATACTTTGTGTAGTGTTATGCGTGCACTAAGGCTTGTTAAAGAAACAGCAAGATAAAAGTTAAAAGATATGGCTTGTCTAAGTCTGATTTGGTTTAGAGAGAAAATGCAGGGATTCTCGTTCTGTACAAAATAAAAAAACAAGGTGACACCCACTGTTATTTGGTTAGTTCAGGGTTTCTCACTGTGTGGGTTTCAACTCCTAGTATTCTCCAGCCAGTATAGAACCAATAGAGTTGTGCATGATCCTTATTCCTAGGTAAGACAGATTATGTACAGTTGAGATTTGCAATGACATTTGTGAACACAATGTCATTTCTTGGTCAGTAAAAGGCTGGAAGGAAATGATATGTCCTTAAAGAATTAACATAAGCCTCAGACAGAAAGAAACGTGCTGCTCCAGAGATTTGCCTGTTCTTGAGGTGTATATCTAACTTTTAATAAATATAAAAATACCATTCCATGTAAAGAGTGCGATATTTATCAGTAAATGTAACAATCTAAACATTTTACCTGAATGGCATGGCTTTATAAAACGTATTCAAGGGCTTTGGTCCTGCGGTGTATTTGCTGATGATCAGGGGCAGTATGATTTGCAACGGAACCATTGGAACAGCAAGCAGAGCTAAATGTTCCTTAGGCACACCTTCTTCTATCAGTTTGAGACCTGTTACAGCATCTGCTGCTGAGAAACCAACCTGGAACATAAAATGTAATTTGTAAGGTGTAAGATGTAACCTGTCACAACATTAGGGTTACCGTACTTGACTTATGAGTCACCTATCAGTGACTGAAGTAACAATGGCGCTGAATGAATGGTAGTCCTAGCATCACCATTGTCGTGTCATTGTGATCTGGGCATTTAGCAACTGGTTAGCACTTGATCCTGTGATCACTATTTGCAACCTTCCCTGCTGGCTTCTGCAGAACGTTACTGGGAAAGTTATCAGGGAAGGTTGTAAGTTGCTGGGGTAAATCTCCCTCACCCAGGCTTTGTGCACCATCTCTGACCTTTGTGCACCCTCCCCAGGCTTCACCATACCTCTCACATATCCCTTTACTTTTCCTCACCCTCACTGCACTTTATGAACTCCGTCAATGCACCCTTCATACGTCCTTTCCAAACTTTGTGCATGTTTCCCATTCTTTGTTGCATCTCTCATGCAATCCCTCACACTCTTGCACACCCTCCCTAAACTTCACCGTGCCTTCCTTGCATTCCTTCCGCCACTCAGCAGAAGCCACTTACCTGCCTGCCAACCTAGGACTTACAACATCCGGACAGCTTCCCCGCCGGTTTTGCTTGTGGGAAGCCAGCAGGAAGTTGCCTCACCTAATGACCACAAGTTTCAGTTAATGACAGGAGCCAGAACTGCAGGAACTGCCATTGCCAAGTGATGTCATGGCACTCTATAAATACATCACTTTGTGACAGAAATTCCAGTTCCAAATGCCATCATAAGTCAAAGACTCCCTGAATAATGTTCATGTTTTCTAGTGATCATGATTTAATAAGACTGACACATAAGTCTATAGATAAATAATCTTTTGCAAAAATGGCTCAAATTCCCAACTGGAAACTATTGTACAAATTATTTACTCACTTTTGCTGTTAAGATCAGGGCACAAAATGTAAGGACAGCTGGCATTTTGATTATTGAAAAAAGCAGTTTGTATGTATCCATGATTCCTTTTGTCTCTTCTTTTGATGGTGTTACTGTCTTGTTTTCCTTTTTCAAAAGCGCAACCAATGTAGTAGTTATTAAAAAAACAGCACTCCAGAAAAAGAGGAAATCTGAAACAATATTCATTCATAATCCAAATTTTTCATTAATGACCTTTTATGATAGCCTTCTCTGCAGATTCTTTGAGTCTTATGAAACTATAGTGGAACATATCTAAAGAAACCAGACAGCGGCAAGTCACTATATTCTAAGCACATAATAAACACCAAATTTTACAGATACTATGACTAGACTTGAACCATATAAAATAATGTATCACCCAAATATGGACATGTGTATTACAGATGTTGCCTGCACTTAACACACTTTTTTATTCAAGGGTATAACTCACTTAGATGAAGGTCAATTTAATGTGCTAGTTAAAGATCCAGTTTAGAAACCAGGTTACATCTTGTTATACAATACTATCTCTTTGACTAAGATCATTGTACAGTTGTTGCACTTTCAAGACAATGCTGGATCCCACTTAACATTCTCCATCAGTCAATAACTTTTGAAGGAGACAGCATCATGAACAGCACTGAGATTAGGACACCTTTTGCCATCACGATATCCCACAGATGGAACCTAATGTAAAAATGCTTGAGCGGTCACCTCTTCATCTACTGAGTCACTTCCATCAATAGATGATGAAGTTGAGTGGATCACCAATCTTGTACACTATGAGATCTGTGAAGCACTATTGTCTCCTTCTTCGCAAATACAGCTATAGCTACTATGTAATTACATATCTGCAAGAGGGAGCTAAAGGCCTTGGGAATGTACATCAACAGCTGGGAAACCTTGACCTCTGATCGTTCAGCTTGGAGGCTAAAGACACAGCATGGCCTTCTTCAATCCGAAGAGACACTCGCTTGGCAGGCTGAGGCAAAGAGGCAGTCCCAGAACCAGTGAAATCCGGGGGCGGGGGGGGGGCGGCGGCTGGACAGGAGACAGACTGTATCTGTCCTCAGTGTGGAAGGGATTGCAACTCTTGAATTAGCCTTTTTAGCCACACGAGATGCTGTTTTAGGACCTCTTTTCAGAGCACGATACCATAGTCTCTTGAGACTGATGGTTGCCAATGATTAATAATCTTCACAATATAACACTTCCCATAGTTTTGAGGAGGAAAAAGAAGAAGAATGTGCCATGCTTCCTTATTTGATCCTTATTTGGAGATGGTGCTGCTCATTTCACCAATAGAATGAAGGAACACTATTCTTTTATTCTTCATTCTTTTGTTCTAGTCATTTTTAAAAAAATAGAGTATATGCAGAAATGCTAGTTATTCATTCCTTTTTGTTCATCTCTGCCTTATTCTATAGCCAAAATAAAATAATATATGAGAGCAAAAAATCTGAAGTAGTCAAAATACATTATCCTTATTTTCTGCTTTTTACTTGCATATATGGTGAATTTTTGTTGATTTTTCAATCATTTTCTGGAGCTCTTATGCCTAACATTCCAATTTCAGCATTTCTATTATCTACAGTTGAATGTTGAAATGTAACCCCCCATGAGTAACTGGATCTACCTGTATAACTGCACTTTGTTTGGATTTTCTTTGATACTTGATATTATTTTCTTTCCTTACAAAGTAAGAGATTTAAGTTTCACTCTGTTGAGGTTAAAATGGGATTGTTTGTTACCTTTAACACATACACCAGCTGTACAGTATAGTTAGTATCATGAGGAAGTATATAAATTGATGCAGACACATCAAAAGTAGACAGATTTGATAATGTTAAGAACATATACAAATGGTATGGTGGCTTGGCAGGCTTATGTAATTCTGTATTTATATAATTATTTCTATAACAATAAATTCCAAAGGTGCTTTTTTAAGGAAGCAACTGCACTTTCTCGTTTTTTCTTAGGATGTTTTGCTTCTCATCCAAGAAGCTTCTTCAGTTCTGACAGGATAATGGGGAATGTTAGAGTTGAAGAAGCTTCTTGGACGAAAAAAACAAGAAAGTCCAGTTGCCTCCTAAAAAAAGCACCTTTGGGACAATTATGGCCTGGATGACTGAGACTACAGAGATATAACAATAAATGTTTTAAATAGCACTACATTTTGTCCAGCTATCAAACATGTTGTGTACCACTAAACACTGTATTATGACAGATCATTTAATTAAAATAGCTAATGGGAAAAATTCTAACCTAATCCTAACTTACTGCATTTCCATGGTCAAATCACTGATCCCTCTATCGAAAGGACGGGTTAGCTTGGCAATGATTTATTCATGACTGACCCATGCTGACTCCTGTAAAGCAATGCATTATATTCTAAATGCTCACAGACTGCTTAGCAATCTGTTTCAATTTTGCCCACTATCAGCATCATTCCAGAGTTGTAAAAAACAGCTGGAAAAAAAACTAAAGAAGCAAGAACATGGATTTCAGGAGGGTATTATTAATGCTAGTCTGAGATAAATACAGAATCTTTAAAACTGTTAAAAATTCCCACCATAGTCTGTAGTAGGCTAATTAAAGGAAATATATTTGAAATGCTTCATTCCCAAATCTTTTCCATTCAGACTGTGTTGCCTCTTCTTGGATAAATGAAATGTTTCACCCTGGTTTCTCATAAACTCTCACACCAGTCAGCTGGATCCTTTCTTCTAAAGGATCCTTACCCTTCTTCATTATACCCACTAACCATGAAAGGACTCTGGGACGACATCTATAAATATTTGAGGACTTGGGTATAATCAGTAGTAGCCAGCTTTTAACCATTTTTTTTCTTATTTTGAGTTACCACTTTTTAAAAATTAATTGTAAGAAAAGGGCGGGTCCATTATTACTTCTCACTTCCTATTACTCATTCTAACAGTGGACCCGCCCCTTTCTTCTTTACTTATGACAGACCCAAATAAGCCCATTACATATAGTTCCTTGGTGATTCACCCATTGTCCCCTTCCTATACATCTTAACTGAAAAGCTACCTATGCTATCCACAAGTTTCCTAAGCTGCCCCCTATTTTTTCCCCCTTGTTGAAACTGAGTGCTGTATTATACTTCCAGTATCTTATAGTTGTACACAACCCATGAGTACTTCTTTGAACCTGACAATTTCTGCCCATGGGAACCACTACTTCTCTAAACATGCTGAAATTGGCTGTCTTGAACTCTAATGTGTATGAGAAGTGGTCCAATTTTTCTTAGCATAATATTACAGGAAAATGGCATGGTAACATACTCCCAAAAATTCTATTGCTTTTACTTTTCCAATCAATTTTTCCCTATTGATCAGCATCAGATTTCATTCATTCAATTATTCATACAATGTAGAAAAGCCGGTTCATTTTTAAAAAAAATTTCCATGCTCAATTATCTCGATCTCAATATACACGTTCACTTCCTTCACATGATGTCATACACACATACACATACATTAGTCTAGCTTTTTCCTTTGACACAATTTATACCACTAAATCTTTAAATACCATGAGTTCAATTTCATTAACACTACGTTATTTTCACATTCCAGCAATAATAACAAGCTCTTCTTGTTTCCCATATTCTGGATAGAAATGTAACTTGACCTTCCTGATTTATGTGCTTATTAATGATGATTAATGTGATGGTTAAACATTCTACATATTGCTCCTCATTATCAGGCTTTCAAGACATCTTCCAAACATCTTCACTTTCAATTTTCTGTTCCCAGGAGTCCCTCAACTTGGAAAAGTATCCCATTATTTAAGAATCTAAACCATTTCCATTGGCATCATCTGGATAGTCTGTTGTTTACTTCCACTAGTCTTCTCTCTCTCTTCTTAGACCATGTCCACCAATGGAAAGGAGAAAGAAAACTTCACCTGTGCCTCAATTTCTTCATCCTCCTGACAATCATTCCATATACCTTATATGTTTTCAGTGCTGCATCTAGCTGTTTCATGTTTCCACATGAATGACAGAAAGAAATGTTTCTTACTGGACATATCAGTCTTCAACATTTTTCCTTCACATTCAAATTGTATCCCTAGAAAGATGCACTTGTCTTCAAAGACTATCCAGTTGACAGACTGCTACTTCAATCTCTCTCAGCAGGAAGTTTCCAATATCTACCTCCCATTGCTTCATTTCCTTTCATTTTTAATATCTGAAGCGTCTTCCTCCTCAGTCTTTGAGGTGTTGTAACAGCTGCCATTTCTCCAAGAGTCCAGATACCCACAAGGAAACCCTGAAAAATGTTCTAACAACCATACAAGAATAAAAGCTGTACCCAAGAGACATGAACTTTTGTGTCACATTCATCTACCTCCTTCCCTGCCACTCGGCCTTCCCCTATTTTTCTGGAAAGTTTCTTTTGTCCCTTGTCTTGCCACAGTTTGTTCCTAAGTACAATTCAAAAATTCCCTATCATACCTGGTAAGTGAGCAAGTTTTGCCTTTGCATTTTTTACTTTCATTTCCCAGAGGCCAATCAACCCACACTTGTAAGATGTAGTCTCTATCATCTTCAGAAAGGAAAATAAATATGGCATATCAGTTGCAAGGGATGAGAGGAATTCTCTCAAATTTCATATTGCTCTCAACAACAAATCATAAAAGTGCCTCCCTCGATTTCTTCAGTCAAACTCTTTTTTTCTCTCTCTCTGGATGCTCATTTATCAATAAGAATTATTAATAAATATTTAATAAATTAGTAGTAAACTTTTGTACTAACTACATGCTTAGATTTCTGATATCCCATTCAAAAAATCTAAAGCACAGGCTCAAGTATTCTAGCTTATCTTGTGTACTGAACTGTATTGGGGGTGGGTGGGGGTGTTAGATCAGTTAAACAGAACTGTGACTAAAACTTTATGAATAACAATTCTATGCACACTAGATCTCATATGGATGAAGGAACAAACTTGCTTCTCAATCCAGCTATTAACTTCAAAAAGATGAAAAGATATCCTTCCATTTTCTAGAATGTCACTTTGGAGAAATAATATATTCTGATTGCATAAAAACCTCCTAGTCATCCATAATACCAATTACATTGATCAGGAAAAAACTGGAACCAACTAGATTTAAGAAAATAATGTTTCTCCCCTGAAGAATAGTTCTAAGAAAGCTCTAAAATTTGGGGACTTTTATCTGTAGGATAAACGTAACATATGCTATTTAGTTTCTTTTCTAGGCCATAAGTATGGGAAGTTTTGCCTTTTTCACTGATATAGTTGGTAGCTTTGGACAAGGATAAACTAGCCTGATGTAGCTTCATAAATGAGTGAAAACGTTTCAGCTATGATATAACCAATCAGAATACTCTAGATATTCAAATAAAGAAATGCCATCTGGCATGAAGTGCTACATGCCAGATCTTTTATAAAATAACATTCTTAGTAAATATGCTAATACAGAAACATGTGTTTTCTGTCACACTGACTGTATTTTCAAAGCTGGATAGATATGGAAACACTGAAAATTAAGTATTACATTGTTGTTCTTCATGTTGTTCTATAAAAAGATCTCGTACAAAACAGACAACTCTCATATTGTCATGAGATGAGCAGCAATATGAATTGTACAATAAATAGGCTCAGAATAAACCTATCACCATATTTAGATGTGAAATTTTCTAATTTGAAATGGACACAAAAGCCTTAAAACCATAAGACTCTGTATCCAACATTTACCTGAAAGTGTAACGATTCCTTTGGCTTGTGGCTGAAAACGTAAATACTTGTTACAGAAGGAAGGTGATTCAAGAGCCAGGAACAAGACATTTCCCAAGAAGTAGCCAGCCGTCTGACCCACGGAATTACAAGTGGATGCGTAGCCTACATTTTCTCGTGATAACATAGTCAATGCCCAGCCATCTACAGCTATGTCCTGAGTGGCTGCTAGGAATTCAAAGAGGAAGAAGGTCACAGTAAGTGCCACCACATCTGGGCTTTGGCCATCGACCTCCCCAAGCAGAGAATCCACCCTTGCGGACAAGTACATCATAAAAAGACCTATAATGTACTGAGTTGGCACAAGCCAAGACTTTCGGCGACCAAAGTTCTTGAAGTACACAGCGTCCACCAAGGGAGCCCAAAGCAACTTCAGACTGAAAGGCCAGAAGACAAAACTAAAGAAAGCCTGGTCCTTGTAGCTGACATTCTTGCTTTGCAAGATGAGGGGGATGCTGCCAGCAAGCCCCAAAGGAATCCCTTGCAGCACATACAGGAAGAGAAGAAGCAGGATATTGCCAAACTCTGCTCTATAGTTTTGGGGAAGCTCCACTGGCTGGAAATGTGGCTCCTGAAGCAGCGCTTCCCTGTCATCTTTTTCGACAGCGTCCACGGAGCCATCTTCATAGAAATCTAGAGGAACAGACTTACTCTGCATCCCATCCAAGGCGTTCTGGTAGTTGCCTGGCCGGCGATGCCGGCTATTATCCTTAGAGGAGATGGCTGGGGACATGTCACACACGTAATCCAGCGCCGCTTTGCTTCAGAAGCCGAAGAGACTGGCGGTGGTCCTCCCCACCGAAGACCCTTTTCCCTAGCGCTGGTCGCAGATGGCGAGAGGCTCCCAGGTCAAAGTTCCCCCCTGCCGGCAGATTCCCTGCGGCGGCCTCTCTTTACTTCCGCCGGCCGAGCGGGCAGGTTCCCTCACCACGACAAGGAGAGGAGGACAAACAAGACGTGTCTCTCCCTCTTCGGCATCGGGAAGCGATGGGCCTCCTTTCGGTGACCTGAGAATATCTCAGCCGGCCTGTGGGGATCCACACGATGCCCGCTACAAAACTTACTTCCCCTCCACCGATTGGCCAAACCTTTTCACAGCCTGGCTGAGTCCGACCCATAAAAGGGTCCGACGTGGAAACCTAAGCCGAAGCCGAAGAGGCCGCCAAACCAATAAAACCTCCGCACCGTCGTAGTCTTACTCCATTGGCCGAGGTGGGGATTTCGTCACGAAAGAATTTCCCTATCAGAGAAAGGTCCGGGAGAGGAAAGCGAGAAATAATAAATGGTAGCGGCGATTGCCGGTTAGAGAGGGCGACGCTTCCGGCTCTCTTTAAAGTTACGAGACATGAATGTTAAGAGGGAGGAGAGACGTCCCTCGTCACAGGGAAGAGGTATTAGAGCAGCCTTTACGTATCTTCTACCCCATTGCTCCTCAATCTCCGCAGCTTTTAAGAGGTATGGGCTTCATCTTGGCTTGGGGAATTCTGGAAGTTGAAGCCGGCCTGCTGAAAAGCTGCTGAGGTTGAAAAACACTGGTCCATCCTGTTACATATTGCAATGCGAACAGGAAGGACGGGGTGGCCTAAAGCTATGCTATATACCTAACATACCTTTATGGCTACCTGCTGCAAAGAAGAGGGGGGCAGCCTATTCTGGGAAGCATTTGAAAGCTTAGCAAGAAGCAAGGGATGGAAACTAATCTAGAAGACAACCAACATAGAACTAAGGAGTAATTTCCCAACAGAACAATTAATCAGTGGAACAACTTTACTCCAAAAATTGTGGGTGTTCCAGCACTGGAGATATTTAAGAAGAGATTGGACAAACATTTGTCTGAAATGGTATAGGGCTTCCAGCTTAAACAGTGTTGGACTAGAAGATCTCCAAGATAAGTTCCAACTCTGTTATTCTGTAGATTTTTGTCCATGAGGTGCCAGCTTGGCAATTTAATTGTCCTCATGCATGCTGCACAAAGGGCTTGACTGGCTAACTCATGTTAGCTAGGATAGAACAGTATTTCTTAGTGTGGTCTAGGACCCTTGGGATTTCAGATTAAATTACCAGAGTTGGAAGGGACCTTGTAGGTCATCTAGTCCAACCCCCCCACCCCCATGCAAGCAGGAGACCCTACACCATTTCTGACAAATGGCAGTCCAATCTCTTCTTGAAAGTCTCAAGTGATGGCGCTCCCACAGCTTCCAAAGGCAAGCTGTTCCATTGGTTGATTGTTCTCACTGTCTGAAAGTTTCTCATTTCCAGGTTGAATCTCAGGGGCCCTCCAAATCAGAATTATGTGCCAGCCTATGTTGAAAAATAATACAATATTAAAATCCTGTCAAACTACTGTGGCAGCAAATGAATCAGTTTAAATTTCTAATACAGTAAATATCACTAATTATAGCCAATACAACAAAAGCTCTTTTGGAATCCTCAATTTTTAAAAGCAGGAAGGCATCCTGAGAAAAAATGTTGGTCCAAAATATGTTGCAAACCCAGACTGATAGTTGATTTTTTGAGGGCCCAGTTTGCAGCATGAATTCAGAAAACTGTTGAATTAATATGCCAAAATAATTATGGATAAACAGGTCATTTGAACATAGCCGCTTGACTCAAAGGCAAAGCTCTGAAATCCTCCATAACATAATCCTCTGAACTCTTGTATGTCTGTTTTGATATTTTTCCACAATGCCTGGAACTGTTCGAACCCAACAAACATTAAAGTCTTACAGGGCTTTAAAGACAACACATTTATTACAGCACTGAGTACTTTCTGAAGCAAACCACACTTTTGAAAGTGAGTTATAAGCATATTTTAAATAATCCTTAATCACAAGCAGAGAGTTTTCTAAATATAATACATAGTTAGATATACAAAAACATGGGTACACAAGGAGAAGGGAGATACAGAATAGATTATTACAAACATATAACGAAAATTTAAAAGATATACCGTATTTTTTGCACTATAAGACACTCCAGACTATAAGACGCACATTAGTTTGACAAGGAAAACAAGAAAAAAAAATCTCTGCTTCTGCCACCCAGCATCCATCTGGTATTCATCTGATTAGCGTCTTTGCACAAACAACCTGCTTCCTCCTGTCTGCTGCCTCTGCTGGGGAATGCTGGAGTCTTCACTTCCAAGCAGCTGATTGGCAGTTAGATCAACCTCCTAGAATACCACCAATCAGCTGTTCTACGTAATGTGGATCGCCCCCACCTATCACTGTTCACTGCTGCTGCCGCTCAGCACCATCTATTCGCTGCCGCTCAGCACCACCTGCTTGCCACCGCCATTTGCCGCTAATTGCCACCGCCCATTTGCCACTGCCCATTCGCCGCCAATTGGCAGTGGTGAACGGGCAGCAATAGGTGGTGGCAATCCCTGCCGCCTAGAACAACTGAATGGTGGTATTCTGGAAGGCTGATCCAACTGCCAATCAGCTGCTCAGCAGCAAAGGCTTCAGTGTTTTCTGGTGGCAGCAGCAAACGCCACCACCACACCAACCCCCTGCTCCCCCCACCACAATATTAGCTGTATAAGACGCACAGACATTTCTATCTACTTTTTTTTTGGGGGGGGTGCATCTTATAGTGCAAAAAATACGGTACTCAAAAAACCGTTTTGTCAAACATGTAATTGACATTCTAAGGCATATATAAAAGGAATCCCATATATCAGAGTGCTTATATTTTAAAGATAAAATATTTACATGTATAAAATGAAACAATATATGAGTATAAGAAATTGGGAGGCAGTGCTATAATTAGGCAAAGTGAGGTTCCTATATGAAGTAGCTGGTTTTCTGTATCATAACTAGGCAATCAAATACTAGTTATTTAATATATAGTTGTTTTATGCTAGAGAAGGGAAGAGTTATGTGCTGGAATTTCTGCCTCAGATGTCATATAATACAGCGTCTCTTGGATCTATGCATTTGAGGACAACATAAATATCTTAAAATGGGTAATGGGAAACCACTGAAAATCTTGCCAGAAAATTCCCCAGACCTGGTCAAGCAGTTACCAGAAATCAAAGGCACATACACATACGGCATGTAAAATGAGCTTAACTATATCATGACAACCTGGGAAGGATGTCACTGAATCAACATCGCAAGTTCTGTTGAGCTGTCCACTATCTATTCTGAATTATGATGCTTCTTGATAAATTTATTTGTGAAATTTGCCACCAATCTCGACATGGGGCTTCTCTAGGGAGTTTATAATATTAAAAAGGAAGAAAATGAAAGGAATATAAACAGAAGAGAAGTAAAATAAAAGAACAATGAAATAAACAATGAAAAATAACATCATGAGAATACATCAGTATCAGAGGTGGTATTCAGCAGATTCTGACCAATTCTGGAGAACCAGTAGCGGAAATTTTGAGTTGTTCAGAGAACCAGCAAATACCACCTCTGACTGGAGATTTTACAGTATTGTTCCCCTGCCACGTCCACCAAACCACACCCACAGAAGCGGTAGTAAAAAAATTTGAATCCCACCACTGATCAATATGATAAAAGATGGACCAACCGAGAGCAAGGGGAGGGGAGGTGGGAGTCTACCATCAATCCAACAGCCTCCTCCAGCTTGGCACTGTAGCAAATATATGGAAGAAAATACATTTTTGTCAATCAACTTCAAAGGAAGTGGCAAAATATTATCCACTCATGATTTCTCTAGTCTAGTGAAATTGCAAATATAATTAGATCCTGATAGATTTTCTCCATGTTAGAAGGCAATTCCATACACACTTTTCCTTTTGATATTTTAGTTTCAATTATGTTTTATTGGATGTTCTATATAAATTCTACATAACCTTAAAAAAAATCGATGACCTCAAGGAGGCATCGATTTTTTTTAAATGAGACATTCTTATGTGATTGTTTATTTTACTCAATACTCTGAAGTCATCCTTTTTAAAGCGTGCAATAGCAATTTATGTAACATAAAATCAATATTTGTCACCAGAGGTATCTGGATATAACAGAGACATAATGTTTATCAATTTCTCATGAGCAAAACCTCCATAGCAATGTCAAAAAAGACTGTATTCACATAAGACGTAGGTTGGTTTATAGAAACAGTCAGTTAAGAATCTTTGTGAAATGATGCAGGGAGTGTTTCTATGACAGCTCCAAGACATGTGGACATCCATATGGAGTGTGAGGCATAAGGCGACCAGCAAAAAAACTCTACAACTTACAATGCTATTACTGAAGATTAGAATTTCAGTTGTGATGTCACATTGCTCTGTTCACCCTTTTAGCATTGTTGTGGTTTGGAAAAGATGCCTATGGAGTTTCCACCTCCTTCAGGCTACCAAAGCAAAACCTCTGAAGTTTTCAGAACTACTGATGTTTTCTCCAAAGACAAAAGCCAATGGTAATGAACTTTCCTGCAAAGAAAATTGCCACAGAATTAAAGTGCCTACTCAAGAAGTCATTATTCATAAATTAGTTTCCATCTGGCTGAGTGTTAAGGGTTATCAGTTAAATCTGGGTGTAATTTTAAAATTGTAGTGCTCTATTTTGGGCATTTCTGTATTAAAGCAACACCAATGTATTCATTAATTTTAGTCACTATTGACAGGTGTTATGCAATGAAACTTCTGCCAGTTTGATTCTTGGGATTGATGAACTGATTCTCAACTGGATTGTATTCCATGGAGTAAAAACAATATTACCCAAGTCTGGAAAGAAACCAGCATATTTTCTAGCAGTGTTCAAGAAACTATAAAAGTTAAAGAGAAATGGAAGGAACTGAACGCCAATTCTAACAAAGAGAGCAAAATGGGACACAAGAGTACCAGACAAGTATCATGATAATGTGGAATACAGAAAAAGTATCTGAAGAGACTATTGCAAAAAAAAAATAGTAATAATGAAGGAAAACAGTTGCTTCCTTCAATATAGTTAATTAAGACAAACAGGCAAGGTAGAAATTGGGCCCTTAAGAGTGGAAAGAATACTCAACAAAGATCTGGAGATTGCAGATAAACTTAATGAAATATTGGCATCTGTATTTACCATAAAATGTAAAGGATTGATATCTGAGTCTGCCTTGACCTTGTCAGAAGATATTCTTGGAATCTTTGACTGATTTCAGAGTGTCTCCAGCAGAGGAAGTCCTG